CCAGCCAGGCAAGAAAGTCCATGAGACTCGTATCTTCAAGAAACCATTAGAAATCCAGAAGTGGTACTATGCATAGTCAAGTGGTAGAGTGCTATCCTTGAGCTGAAGAGCTGAGGGATAGAGCCCAGGCCCAAAGGTCAAGCCCTGCAACCGACAAAAAATAAAATAAAATAAAATAAAAAACAAACCGACAAAAAATAAAATAAAATAAAAAACAAATTTTAAAAAATAGGAAGCTTCAGGATCTATTCTAATCAGATTTCAACTTGCCTTTTACCCTCTTTTTTAAAGTTAATTTTATTGTCAAGGTGATGTACAGAGGGGTTACAGCTGCATATGTAAGATAGTGAGTACATTTCTTATTGAACAATGTTACCCCCTCCCTCATTTTTCTCCCTCTTTTCCTCCCCCCCATCAATCCCTCCCTAAGTTGTAAAGTTCATTTCCAACATATTATCTTGTGAGTATCGCTGTTGCATTGGTTCCCCTTTTAAATCTATGAGGACTTTATAATCCAGCAATTCAACTTTGAGTGCATATTGCAAAGGTAAGCAAATCACTTACCTTACAGAGCTACTCCTAATCCCATATTTCTTACAGCATTATTTATAATAAACAAGATGTAGAAGCAATCTAATTATCCATCAATGGAAGAATAAATTAAGAAAATAGGTCTGTGTACTATGTTGAATGTGAACTATACAACTTGGGGGAAAGATGTTCGGGAGGGGAAAACTAAAAGAAAAGGAGGGAAGAGGTGAAGAAAAGAAGAAGGTACTCATTACCTGATTATGTAACTGTAACACCTCTGTATGTCACCTTTACAATAGCAATTTTTTAAAAAGAAGAACAAAGAAAAGAAAATAGATCTCTTATGGGGAGAGATTCCATATAATCATAATTAATCAAGTACCATTGAATCTTTAAAAGGATTTTCTTCCATTTGAGACTATACGGATGGATATTATACTAAGTGAAAGAAGTCAGCCAGAAAGACAAATATTTTATGATCTTGCCTATGGGTACAAAAATGGAAAATGAACAAACTCATAAGTAGAGAATATAAGAGGAAAGGAGAGATGTTGTTAAAGATGAACTAATTTGCCAGATGCCAGTGGCTCATGCCTGTCATACTAGCTACTCAGGAGGCTGAGTTCTGAGGATTGCAGTTCAAAGCCAGCTTGAGCAGGAAAGTCTGTGAAACTCTTATTTCCAATTAAACACCAGAAAATCAGAAGTGGTGCTATGGCTCAAAGTGGTAGAATATTAGCCTTGAACAAAAAAAACAAACAAAAAAAAGGAGCTCAAGGACTGTGGGCAGGCCCTGAGTTCAAGCCCATGACCTACCAAAAAACAAAAAGTATTAAGTTTCACTGGTTTAAGAGAAATGGCTTTTAAATATCGAATGTGCACTAAAGTAGCTATACTTAGCAATTCTATATTGTACATTTGAAATTTGCTAGTTCTAAGCTTCTCATTATCAAAAATAATGATAAATATGTAAAGTAACTAACATGTTAAATTTCCTTGAAGTGACTATTGTATAGTATGTGTATATAAAATATTTTAAAACTTTGGTACATTTGATTTGTCAAATATATCTCAGTGAAGCAGGGCTACATCAATGAAAAAAGACTTTTTGGAGAAAAGTACATTAAAATGGTTACTGTTAATGTTATGTCCTCGTTGCTCTAGCTCACAAGAGGTAGATTTCAGGCAAAGTTTAAGACTGATAAGAAAATGGAAGCTCCCTGTGTTGCAAGAGCCAATACAGAAATTAGAACAAAGATTCTGACACTGGTATTAGGCCACATTGATATTCACATAGCAGATGTCCCAGTAAGGCCAGATCATATAGCATGCATTTCAAGGGTAGAAACATACAATTCCCTACTCAACAATGCTTTCTTCCCCCAATATGTCTCTCCAGAATATCCACTGCTAAGACAAAATTTTTCCAACAAAAAAGATAATTAAATCCCTGGAGAGAAAGCACAGTGCTGTGTTTTTAAGTCTTTGTGGAAACCTCATATAAATCCATGTAGTGCAAAATGAAAAGAGGTTTGTTGTTCATGTCTCCAGATAAAAATCCATCATGAGTGGAGTGATTCATCTGAATGTAGTTTTTTCCACCCTTTCTGCCTTTTGCCCTGTGAGAATCATAGCTTTTCACAGTCTATCACTTCTTCATAACATGTCAACTGAATCCACCAATAATTAAAAGCTTAGATTTTTCTGTGGTACTATATTGAGTCTTCAGGTTTAAATGAGATTTATGAAGACTCTCTCTTAACAACTGATGGTTTAATATCAAATTATCTGAAGGGTGTTTTTCATGTGACATATATTTCATATTGAAAATTGTTAACTGCAAGAGGAGGAAGTTGGAAGATGTGATTGTTTCCAATATCATTAGAATAATCTAAGGACAGCAAAGGTAAGCTTTTCTGTTAATAGTTATGCTTACAAAATATTCATTTCCTTAAATATTAATAAATACTTTTCAGTTCATTTTAAATACAGTATCAGAACCTTTCTAGACCTAGGGCGCACAATGGATAAACATCACTCACATAGTGTGACAGTTGAAAGCTTTAAGGATCATAGATTTAAGAAATTAAGAATTCTGGGGAGGGCTGGGAAGGTGGCTCAGTGGTAGAGCGCTTGCCTTGCATGCATGAGGTCCTGGGTTCGATTGCTCAGCACCACATAAGCAAAAAGAAAAAAGCCGGAAGTGGTGCTGTGGCTCAAGTGGTAGAGCGCTAGCCTTGAGCTGAAGAGCTGAGGGACAGCCCCCAGGCCCAGAGTTCAGGCCCCACGACCGAACCCCCCCCAAAAAAAGAATTCTGGGGACCTGAGTTTTGGAGAGATACTAGAAAAGGGGGAAATAATTGTGGGTTGAGAGAGGCTAAAATAGAAGGTAGTACCACTGTTGTTGTTGTTTTAATGTGAAGATGTTCTTATATGTCTATTTGTCTGATATATGCTATTGAAAATGTGCAAACCAAATTTTCCTCTATAATACCATTAAAATAATTATAGTTATATTGGCCATAATAAAAGATTTTACTATTGCAATATACTAGTCAAGCACTACAGAATATGGGCTTAAAGTCTGAATTAAAAGGAATACATAAGAATAACATGAAACCTAATCTTGGCTCTGTTCTTCATTAGTTACTTGATCTTAGAATATTTAACTTCGTGTCTCTAGTTTTTCATATGTGAAATAAAAATAATAGCACCATATCCTAAGAAGATGAAATCAGGAAGTGTCTGCAAAAACATAACACACTAAGTATGAGGTGATATTCTATAGTATTATTGTCATTATGTCTAATCATTTTTTAATATTTTTTGGTGCTACTCCTGGGGCTTGAGCTCAGAGCCAGGATGTTGTCCCTGAGCTTCTTTTGCTCAAGGCTAGTGCTCTATTACTTGAGCAACAGCTTTTTTTTTTGTAGTTTAATGGAGATAGTATTACAGACTTTTCAACCAGGTTGGTTTTGAAGATTGACCATCAGATTTCAGCTTCCTAAGTAGCTAGGATTACAAGCAAGAGCCACCACTGAGATTGTGACTCATTTTCAAAGTGGGAACAAAACCAGATTGACCACATAAATTGTTATAAACATTGAATGCAATAATTTATGTAGAAAACTGGGTGACATTCTGTTCACATGGCAATTAACAGTGTAAAAGTATGTATTGTTAGCCATTACAGAATAATCAGCTGCCACAGAAAAAGTTATTACACTATCCTTTACGTCACATAATTCCCACCCTCTTACTTCATCTCTTCTCTAAACAGTCTGCTAACTGGGGTTCCTTTTTCTGTTTTTAATTCTCTTACTGGTCATCAGACTACCCTGTTTAAGCATCCTACAAATTTTAAGTAATATCCAAAGTTTTCCTTTCCTCAACCCTCTTCATCTTTCTGCTCATATTATCAGATTCCAGCTAGGCCTGTAATCCTAGCTACTCAGGAGGCTGAGATCTGAGAATCATGGATCAAAGCCAACCCGGGCAGTAAAACTCATCTCCAATAAACCACCACAAAACTGGAAGTGGCACTGTGACTCAAGTGGTAGAGCACTCGCCTTGAGCTGAAGAGCTGAGGGACAGAGCCCAGGCCCAGAGTTCAAGCCCCATGACTGACAAAAAAACCCCACATATTATCAGATACGTTCCAATTGTTTCTACCTCTTAAGAATACAGTAAAGGATACAGTAAAGACACTTGAATATCCATGTTCATTTCTGCACTATTCAGAATAGAAGTTATGGAAATAGCCCCCTTACCTTACCATAGATGAATGGATTCAAAAATATGGTACCTGCACCCAACTGAATTTTACTTATCCATTAGAAATAATAAGATTACTTCATTTGCAGGTACAAGCAAATCATGTTAAGTGAGGTAAGCCAAGCTCAGAAAGACAAACAGCACATGTTTTCTCTCATCTGTGGAACCTATATCTACACTACAATTGGACATGATAACTTATACAGGACTCTAGGCATTCACACACAGTCAAACTAAAGGAGGATAGCTTTCTGGGGAGGAACCCAAAGGCATAATTCATCTGGACATTTAAAATACTATTTAGCAAAACAAATTCCAGGAAATGGAAGCACAGGAGTTTTGGAGATGGTGGTGATGTTTGTGGGTGATAGTATTTGTTTCAGCTTTGGAATGTATTGTCTTTTTAGGGGAGGCTGTCTCAAGAAAGGGTCTGAAGCACCTCAAATGGATGTCTCCGGCCTTGTGCATTCACAAAAGTTTCTCATAGCTATACCTAGAATCTTCACTTGGGAAGCAGTTTAGGCAAAAAAGAAAAAAGAAGAATTCACAGCGCACAATAGAATATAGAATGTATAACTTATTGGAATGGAGAAATTTAATAAATTCATGTTTATATTAATCATTCTCTGGGTAATACAATTATCTGTTTGTATTAATCATTCTCCAGGTCATACAGTTATCTATCACCTGGAATAATGGAGATTAGGAACAATGTGACCGAGTTTGTTCTCCTGGGACTTACAGAGAATCCAAAGATGCAAACCGTGGTATTTGCTGTGTTTTTTGTCATCTATATCATCTCCCTGGTAGGCAACGTGATCATTGTGGTCACCATCACTTCCAGCCCCTTGTTGGGGTCCCCTATGTACTACTTCCTCGCCTATCTCTCCTTTATTGATGCCTGCTACTCCTCTGTCAGTACCCCTAAATTGATTGTAGATTCACTCCATGAAAAGAAAATTATCCTCTTCAGTGGATGTATGTCCCAAATCTTTGGGGAACACTTGTTTGGAGGTGCTGAGATCATCTTGCTGTCTGCAATGGCCTATGACCGCTATGTGGCCATCTGTAAGCCCCTGCACTACACCACCATCATGAGCCGGCATGTCTGTGGCTGTCTGATTGGAGTGGTGTGGATGGGAGGGTTTCTTCACGCCACCATTCAGCTGCTGTTCATCTTCTGGTTACCTTTCTGCGGCCCTAACGTTATAGATCACTTTATGTGTGATCTGAACCCTTTGCTCAGTCTGGTCTGCACTGATATTCACACCTTGGGGCTCTTCGTGGCTGCTAACAGTGGTTTTATCTGTCTGTTAAACTTCCTCCTTCTGTTGGCCTCCTATGTGGCCATCCTGTGCACCCTGAGGAACCACAGTTTGGAGGCAAGGTACAAAGCACTCTCCACCTGTGGCTCCCACATCACAGTAGTCATCTTGTTCTTTGTGCCCTGCATATTTGTGTACATGAGACCTCCAGCTACTTTGGCCATTGACAAAGTTGTTGCTGTTTTCTATACCATGATAACGCCCATGTTAAACCCCTTAATCTACACCTTAAGGAATGCTCAGATGAAAAATGCCATTTGGAAATTGTGTCATAGGAAAATTACTTCATCTGTTAGGTAAATGTCCTTGGAGTCTAACACTGGTTCAATTGAGTCAAGAATCAAAAGGGTGCTTTATATGTCAGCAAGATATATGCATTGGATAAAGAAAAATTGAACCATGCAATTGATTTATAGATTCAATTCTGAAAGAAAAAGAAATAGGTCTAAGGAAAGAGAAAAAGATCTAACTCGTGGCTATTCTGCATACTTGAAAATGTCAGCAAAATTTAGACATTTTTACTAGCTTCCTCCTCACCTTAGGACTCAACACACAAAGGAATAATATATTAATGTTTAGTCTACAATCTCAATAGCAATTCAAAGAGGTTGTCTTGGCTATGAATCCCATTTTGTAGATGAAAAAGTGACAAGGAAAATCCTGATCTTTGATATTAGCAGGCCAGTAGCTAGAACATGACCAGTTTCCAAGGCCATTATTTTCCTATATAGTTTTCTATGCAGTGATGACAAGAAGGTCAGATACAGATTCTCGGCCTATGAGCACAAATTCATCTTAACAACTTCTTTCTCTCAGAAACAGTTCCTTTTTTTATGAATATGACCTTTTTAATATCGCTCTATTTTATTTTTATATTTCTATTTCTTAATATTTATATTAAGAGTTGACTTTAAAAAATATTTACTCTAATAAAACCTTTCAAAAACATGATTCTACTTGGATTATGTACCATAGCTAAGATATGGAACCAACCCAGATAACCCTCATTAGGTGAATGGATGAAGAAATTGTGATATATATATAGTGGAGTTCTATGCTTGCATCAGAAAGAATGACATTGCCCCATTCATAAACAGATGGAAAGACCTGGGGAAAAAATCATATTAAGTGAAGTAAGCCAGATCCAAAGAAATATAGGCTCTGTGGTTTCCCTCATTTGTAAAATTAGTAAATGTCCAGGATAGACCTAGCAGAGGATCACAATAGCTTAACAGCTATGTACATATGACCATATAAAATCATACTAATTGAAATGAACTCCAAGACATGGAAAGAGTAGAGTTTTTGTGGTTGTTGCTTTTGATGTACTATGTGAAGTTATTTCTTTTTCTTTTGTTTTTCTTTTCCTCTATGATTTATCCCTTGTTGTCACAGTATTTGATTTTGGTACTCTGTGTATTGTATATGTGTTTATCTGAATTAGGGAAGGAAAAGGGAACAACAAAATGGTGAGACAAAGGACAAAGGGCAAACCAATGCAACAGCAATACTCACAAGACTTGTTGGAAATGAATTTTACAACTTGGGATAGAGGAACATTGGAGGGGATGGAAAGTGGGAGAAAAATGAGGGAGGGGTAACAATGTTCAACAAGAGATGTATTCACTACCTTATGTATACAACTGTAACCTCTCTGTACATCACCTTGGCAAGGAAATTAAATTTTTAAAAAAGAAAAACAAATAAATAAAAATATATTCAAAATATACTATGGCAGCTGCAATTTCAAAAAACATGTTTTCTATTCATTCCTTACATCTGTCATTTATTAATCATTTTTAATCCAAGTGTCTTGATATTTGCTAGAACTTTAGTGAGTCCAATAGAATATATAGACATGAGAATGAGGCACAAACATTTCTAGAATTGGATTCCATACATGCAGAAAACATAAAAGGAAATAGTAAGCCAAGAAGTCAGAGACACAGGAACAGGAATAGTCAAGAAACTTCTCATAATGGTCTTAAGGCTTCATGCAGACATGAAGACACATCAAAAATATTTTCAAGCTATAAAGTGGTGCAATTCTATTTGACGTTTAGAATGATAATGTAAGCTATAACATTGGTCATGGATTCAAGGGACAAAATGAGGAGCCTGAACTGTGGTGCTGTCAATGCAGATACAGAATGCAGTGGATGCTGTTTCATCCAGGTCAAATCTGTTCCCCCAGTTCAGTGCATTCATGCTCCAAGTGTCCAGAGTCTGGACTACTCACAGCTCACAGTCCTGTCCTCCGGACACTATGCTAGAGAAAATGAGAAGGATTTTGTCCAGGCTCAATGCATGACTGGGATGGGAGGGAAAGAGGTTAGTCCCCTTGGCTCAAAGTTGATCCAGCTCCGTAGTACAATACATATTGTACAGCAAACAAGGCACTGGGATGAAACAAAATGCATCTGAAGCCATATCTTCTCTTCCCCCTCCCATAGTCAACTTCTTTCAACATCTCATGTGCATTAAAATGCCCATCTCAGGTGTTACATCTAGGCAAAGACAAAATGAAAACAAAAAGAGAGAAATACAGCAGTTCAAGAAATGTTTGCTAGTTGTCAACAAAAGAACTTTATACCAAAGATCTTTTATTTGTTTATAAATATTAAAGAAGATCCATGAATACTAAAAAATTCTGGATTAAACCAGAATTTTGCAGATAAATGAGGCACTGGTAAAGATACATCAGAGAGACAAGTCTTCCTGGTCAAGAAAGTTTTAATCCAATAACTTGAAGGCTTGAATGTAACAAAAAGCCTAGATAAATTATAACTCTTGGAAGTGGGGTGTATGGCTCAAGTGGTAGAGCCTTGAGTGATAAAGTTAAGGAACATGCCTAGGCCAATTTCAGCAGAAAAAATAAATAAATATAAGTAAATAAATACCTGAAAGAGGTAATTTTCTGCCTATATGGAACATTAGTTTTTGTCCTCCCTTAAGTGTGCACTGTAATGTCAGCTCTTTTTTCAACACTTGCACTGAAACAAATGGTTCTTATTTCAGGCCTTAATGACCAGTTATAATCACCATCTGAACAAAGTTTATTTATTCAATTATTTATTTATTTATGTAGTCCGTCATGGGGCCTGAACTCTGGGCCTGGGTGCTGTCCCTCAGCTGTTCAGCTCAAGGCTAGCACTCTACCACTTGGGCCACAGCAACATTTCTTGTTTTTTTCTGCATATGTGGTGCTGAGGAATTGAACCCAGGGCCTCATGCATGAAGGCAAGCACTCTACCACTGAGTCACCTTCCCAGCCCCATGAACAAAGCTTATTAGTAGACACAAACCCAACCTCTAGACTAAGCTACACCATGAGTATGCTCATGCTGTAGCTAATGATGTTAATGATCCTCTCTGAGCATCCGTTTTCTCATCTTCCAATGAAACTCATTCTACATGTCACTGTTCTAAAGATTAAGTAAACCCACAGTAAAAATAGCCCAGAATTCTGGGTGGTTTCCATATTAACTGAAGACTCTATACATATCCCTAAGTACATGTATATGTGTGAATTCTCAGAGAAATAATATATAATTACCAGTAAAACATAACTCTATCAGTCAAAAGTATATGCTCAAGATTACTGAATAATGCCAAATTCTTTCCAAAGTAATTGTACTTATACACACTTTCAAAAGTACAATTACCTTGGAGAGTATTATTTTCAATTTTTCTAATTCTGCAAATTAAGTGGATACAGAATGTTATCTCATTATGGGTTTGGTTTGCAGTATCCATAGCCAAAAGGGGCAGGACCTCTACACATTTTAAAGAGCTGTTAAGAAGATCAAACAGAATGAAATGATATACTGTGTATCCAAGTTTACTGTGCTAGTTGATTTAACAAAAGCAAAAATAGAATAAAATGGAACTTCATCAAACTAAGAAACTTCAATACAGGAGAAGGAAAAATGAACAGAATTGAGACTTCCCATATAATGAGAGAAAATAGTACACACACACACACACACACACACACACACACACACACATATGATAAAAGGATAATATCCAAAATATATTTTAAAAGCTCAAACAATAGCAAAAATAAATAAATCAATATTCACACCAATATTAAAATGAAGAAAACATTTCTCAAGGAACATGTAGAAATGGTCGCCAAACATCTGGAAAAATTCTCAACATCTCTAATAATGAGGGAAATAAAAGTCAAGGTCACCATAAGATATTACTTCATACCAGTTATAACGTTTGTGATCTCAAACACAAAAGATAATAAGTGTTGGTGAGGACACAGTGGGGACCAGATCCTCATAGGAACACAAATTAGTACAACCATTATGAAAAATGGGAAAGAGATTCCTGGAAAATTTTTTAATGAAACTGTCATCTGATCCAGAAATCTTATGCCAGGGTAGATATCCAAGGAATATGAAAGCAGCAACCCAAAGTCATATTTAACTCCTTATTATCTATTGAAGCACTGGCTATAATAGCCAAAATACAGACTCAACCTAAGAGTTCATTAGTGAAGGAATGGACAAAGAAAATGTGATCTGTACACATGTATAAATGTCCTAAGTATCTTGGTGTTAGGTCATATGCCTTGTTGACTTACATATGATTTCAATTTGGAATAGTTACCTTTGGATATTCATTCTGACTTTGTTCCCAGTTGATGCAAAATTTTGTACCTTTACTTTCTTGGCACTTACCTATGCTTATGCTTGTGCCAAAACCTGACTCCTAGAGATTCCAACCTTTCTGATAAAGGATCAGAGATTAAATTGTTCACATTTGGACAAATATTACACTTATCCTGAAGTTCAATTAAACATTTAGTAACAGTTGAATTCGCATCTCTTCTACACAAAATGGCTCATTCTCCCGTCTGTACATCTTCAGTAAGAGTGTTTAACAGATATAAGTGTATACTTCATAATAAAATTACCACAAATTATGTTCTTACTCTTATTACATGTTTTATGCTTTAAAAATTATAGCTACCTGCTACCATAAAATTTTTACATAGAGCTATATAATGAGCAAAATATATAGAATACAGGGTCATATCTTAGTTTATAGCTTAGTTCTACCATTAACATGAGTATTGATCAAATAGTACCACAGTGAGCCTAGAAAATGTGTTGTTAGAAGTAAGAATAAGTCAGGTGCCAGTAGTGTACCTTTGTAATCTTAGCTACTCAGGAGGCTGAGATCCTGCCAGCCCAGGCAGGAAAAGGCCATGAGATTCTTATCTCCAATTAACCACCTGAAAACCAGAAGTGGCACTGTGCCTCAAGTGGTAGACTTCTAGCTTT